TTTTTTTTTTTCTTGAAACTTTTGCTGTTTGATTGATTTGCAGATGGAAAGGTTGTGCAAATTAAGTGGTGGAGTTGTGGGTTTGTTTGTAGTAGGTGACTGCTTGGGTCCAAGTGATGATGGCAATGAGACCCCCCCAAATTATTATAAAAGGAATATAATAATAACCAAAATTTATACTTATATAAAAAGAAAAACTTTTTTTTTTAATGGAAAGTCAAATTCTTAGTCAAAGTTTGTTAGCATTAATTACTTACCAATTTTGGTAAGTTTTTGAATTTTTTTTATTCAGTAAAATAGGAAAGTATTAAATGTTTCCCTTAATTTGTGGGATTAATTATAACTCATTGTAAAAAAATTCAATCTTTATAGCTACTGTGTGATTTCATGCCGCCCAATTGCATTTTGTCAGATTTCATCCGTCTCTTACATGGGTAATTAAGAATTTGTAGTTATGTTTTATGGTAAAAGATCCAATTTTATTAGCTAATGTGAATTATACTTATTATTCATATAAATATAAATTTTTAAATATATGATAAAATTTAACCAAAATAATTATTTTATAGAATCACATTGTAGTTAAATCGAATTTCTGAATAAAAATGTTAAAATAATACTTATTATGAAATTAATATAATGTATTTTATTATCAATTACATGTACTGTAGGGGTTGTGTACTCTTAAGGAGGATCAATAGTGTTCTCAGTTCTCCTACTCAGTTACTCGAACCCATGACCTATAGATCATAGGTGAAACGTCTTACCACTCAAGTTGCACTTCGTTGTCGGGTTGTGTACTAATTTTAAATAAACATGTTCAATGTGATTTTGAACAATTTAAATTTCAGATAACATTGGAAATTCTAATTTATACATATTAATGTAATGAACATCTCTTACCCGTGCATCGCACGGGGTTCGTACTAGTATATATACATTCGAATCTCAATTATTTCCAATCTATCTATATCTATATAAACAAGAACTTATTTACCAAAAATAGTAAACCAACATTTATTGTATTATATTTTTGGCAGTTTTAAAATTTTCTTTTTAAATTATTCTCAAAAAATCGATTCTATTATATATGTATCCTAAATTCATGGGTTTTGTGGATTTAATATAGGTAAATTTCGACTGATGTTACACTTTTGCAAAAGTTAATTTTTTTTTTTCATTTTTTATTAAAAAAATGATTACCATAAAGTCGAGAATTTCGAATTAGACAAAATATTATCACATATATCTTTTCCTAATTGCAACAAATCAATTGTTTATATAAAAAAAATCGAATTGCATAGAAATCGGGTTAATTGAAGTAGAATTTGGTATGATAATTTTGTAAATGTCAAAATTTTCTCATTTTTATTAAAAAATTTATTTACCATAAAATCGAAAATTATGAATTAGGCAAAATACTACAACATGTATCTTTACCTAATTTCTACAAATCATGTTGATTAAAAAAATCGAATTGCATAGAAATCAGACCCAAATTCAAATTGAAAATTAAAATTTAAAAATTCCTTATTATGTGGCTACTACTTTCTTTAGTTCGAATTTGTTTTAAACATAAAACATAGTCAAATAATATGAATTTGAAACTCAAAATGAAATGGGACTGGAACATCCTAAAAATTTAGGTTTTGTTTAATCCTCTCAAATACAAATTTGAAATTGATTTACACTTACCGGTTTTGCTATGAAGCCAACAGTTGGCTTCATAGTTGAGCCAACTTTCTATTTACAGCAAGTAAACCCTACTATATTTATATAATCATTAACGTTATTTAAGTAATCGGAGAATATGGTATGGTTTACTTGTTGTATATGTAAGGTTGGCTCAACTACGGAGCTCCACTATGGTTTACTTTCTCAGCAACTCAACCAAGCATAACCAGCGGGCAAAGACGACCCCTAAGCGAAATTCGAGGACGACATATGAAGCCCAAGCCACACCCATACCTCGACATCACAACCCGCCCTGCCCCACTACCGACCAAGTAACGCCAATGGGCTGCCGCTACAAATCGGAACCGAAAGACGGAACATTAGGGCGACAACAACAATCCACACCACCCATCAAGAGCAAGCAGAGAGGGCCGCTATGAACAAGGCCATGGGTGAGCGGCGAGGAGAAGACCACCGGCACACCCGTTCAGTCGCTGAGAAAGGTAAATCAACAGAGAAGATGAAGAAGACACTGACGGATTGAGGGATTAGGTTTTTTTGGGAGAGTAGGGGAGAAAGGGAAAGGTTTTAGTCTCTCGTATTAAATACTTGATTATTTTGGCAAAACGTCATCCCGTGTAGTAAACGTTGGACAACTCGCTGACGTATTAAAGTAATTAGATTATTTTGTTTAATCCTATCAACCGAAGTAAATGAGCCCCAATTAAATAGACTATTCAAAGATAATGAGTATACTATATTTATAAAATAGTAAAAATGTTCATGTATTTTTATAAACTTTAAATATTACATTTATACACATTAATTTATATTTTTAATAATCAAATATTAAAAAATTTATATATGTAAAATATTAGTAGATTAGAGCTAACCCGGTCTAAATGTTAAATACCAAGCATAAAAAAATAAAAATAAAAAAGTTAATATCAAATATGTGTATTTGGAAATGATATTTCTTAATTTTAAGCATATATAATTTTATAAAATATTAAAAGTGAACATTTTTTAATATAAAATAAGGGATTCGTTTTAAATAAATTTGAATATTTCATTATTATATTTTGTCTATTTGTTATTTATAGTTTCACAATTACATTAAAAATTATTTTACTTCTTCTTTTTTATTGTAAATATATTTATTTTTCATGCACGCATATAGTACACGTATATCACACTAGTTTACTATTAAATCAAATTATATGACATGATATTTAAAAGTATATATATGTACATAATATTTTATACCTAATGATATATACAAATATATATGGGCGTGGCTTATCTAAATACATATTCAAATAGATTCTATACATTGAGAAAATATACACCTTCATCTAAAAATTTGTATTAAATTACTACAAATTATATATGGGTTTACACAGGTTGCCGTCACCCCCCCAAGGGTTAGGAGCTTGGCTGGATCACGACATTCGGGGCGTAGCCTATCCTAGAAGAGTTCTAGTAGCCTAGGCCTTTGGCCTCCTTTCATGTACAAAAAAAAAAAAAAAAAAATTTTAATTAAATTACTACTAACATATATTTCAAATTGTAGTTAATTTCATTGAAAACCGAATTATCCCTCAACTTTTGTAAGTAACCCATCTACATAAGTCAATTGCTGACCAATTAATTTTTCTGTTAAAGTAGATGAGGTTGTTAGTTTATAGAATCACATATTTATGTCATACATATATAGTCCACCAAATTTTAAAATTAGAGAACATGTAACACATACAAGTTTGTGACGAATTAACAACACAGCTCTTTTTTTTTTTTTTTTTTTTTTTTTT